TAGAAGGTCTTGGATTTCGTCATTGACGAAATCTGCCGCTCCCATCGGATACGGATAGGGTCTGGCATAAATGGGCTCCTCATCAACTGTCCTGATGGTGGCTACCACAGACGTGTTGTAAGGTAACGCCTCATTTGGGCTTGCGAAGGCGTTTTTCCTGTCGCTTAGCATTTTTGAAAATGCTCTTCTGACAAAAGGTGGTGCGCTAGAGCAGTCCACCTCAGTGAAATTTACATTGGGACATGATTGGAACTCTAGCTTTTCCGTCTCGGTGCCCCATCTGAGGTGCCCGGAAGCTAGGTTAAGAGATGCCCCTGCTTGTTTTAGCAGGTCAAGTCCGATGATGGCATCAAAGGAGGACAAATCTGGTAGAATGAAGAACGTAGCCTTCAAGTTAAACATGGAAACAAAGCATTTTTTTGTTATTGTGGTGACGCCATGGATGGAATGTACCGAGAATGGCGAATCTACTGGGCGGACGCCTTTCAACCCTTCGTATGGACGGATGAAATTTTTTGACGCGCCCGTGTCTATTAAAAGCTTCATTTCTACACCTGCTACTCTTCGTCTGATGACGGGTAGCAGGGACTTTCCCCTAAAAAATTTATGACGTCCGAATCGTAATCATTAATAGCGTCGTCGTCAATTTCCTGGGCCGCGCTTGAAGCTGCGGCGGCATATTTGTTCCCAGTTTCGCTCGCGCCCTGCGCGACGTGATTAACCCTCTGCCTTTTGTGTGGGGCAGATCGATCGGACTCAGCCGGCTTCCTATTTTGGTACGCCGGGGCCTGGGATGGCCTAAGCATTTTGGACAGCGATGGGTCGATATCCATGGGTTCAGGAGCGCCTCCACTGTGTGGGGCGGAGTGTACTTGCGCCTTGTGTTGTTTGACGTAGTACGGATTTTTTCCAGCATTTGTTTGTGCATTTGTCTGCGCAGAGGCCTGTCGGTACTCTTGCGCTTTTGGGTGCTGTTTCCTATCTTTATCCTCTTGGCTTTTGGCAAAAGAAGCCGCGAAGGAGTATCTTTCGTGGTTGGATTCCACTTCTTGTGCCAAAGCGAGAGCTGAAGGCATATCTTTCGGTTTTGCCGAGAAAAGGACATCCGTGAGGCTGCGCTTAAGCCCCGAGATAAATACTCGGAGTGCGTCATCCCGGAATTTGTCACACAAAACTGTTGCCGCCGAGGCTTCGTACGACATGGTAGCTTTGTTGGTGAGCAAGGTGAGTTTTTTCTCGACCTCGTCATAGTATTGGAGAAGGGTCATAATTCCCTGCCTAAGAGTACCCATTTCCTGCTCGATAACGTGCATCTGCCGCTTATCATTGTAAGTAAAATCGAGTCGATTTATAATCGCGTCGAAATTTAGTACAGTGTCAAACGAAGACAGTACGGCATCGGCAGGGCCCCTTATTTTATTCCTAATAATAATATGATAATGGCGCGAGCTATGTTCGTAATTTCTGAAAATGTAATATGCGGCTACTGCCGCTTGTCTCCAGGAGACGTATGCTTCCTGTGCTCCCGAAAATTCGGGGACTTGACGGCGTCTAGGGGCTCGTCACACTTAATGTCGTTCCTAATTTCTATAGGCTCATATTTTTTTATTTGGGGAGCCTCCGCTTGGGCGGGAGCGATTTGTCTTTCGTTGACCAGTTCGGTCAGACGGTGTATAGCCAGGCGCATTTCGTTTTCTCTACGCTGGTGTTCGATATTGGCTTCTTGAACAGCATGTTGAACGGCCGCCTGTATGGTGGCTGAAAGCCATGTTCGCGAGTATGGGAGCGCTAGCGTTAACGCTTTTAGGGGTGGAAGATCTGGCCGGCCCTTCGGTCTCCGACTCAGAATCGCTAGAGAGTTGTCTTATGTTTCTATATTGTTGAAACGGATTGCTCATGTGGAGCTGCGGCTATAAAGTCGCCCGAAAGAAAAAATATTTATGTATGAATTATGTGCCGATGGAGGCGATTGGACTGGTGAAGGGGCCGCGGGGGCTGAGCTGCCGCTTTAGTTATGTGTGCGGGCTCGTCAAGTTGCGCTACTGCTGTGTCAAGTAGCGGTAAGGTGAGGGGTGCGCGGGGACTGAGCCGCCGCTTATGCAAACAGAGAAAAAAAAACAACAAAAACAAGAAAGTGCCACACTGCATGCGCGGCCGTATCGTGTTCTCGAAAATGGAGTGGGGAAACAAAACGGAAAAGAAAAATAAATAACCAAAACTGCGCGGCTAATACCAAGAATTCTTGTGTAACAAAAAAGACATATAAAAGCTGAATTAAATACACGCGATTATATAAATTATTTCCGATTGAAATTTAAAATTTTCTGCCAGCGATTTTTTGGTTTTGGTTAGGAATTTTTATTCCGCACTTTTTGTGTTATATGGAATATTCATTTATTTATTCACAAAAACAGAAATGCAAACAATATTGGGACAATAATTGGTTCACAAATGAAATGGCTTAAATATTTTATAATAGGTAAAAAATGTTAATGCTAAACCGTCAGCCAACTAATAAAGATTATTTAAAAATTTTTTTTTTTAAATTTTATGGGGCTGCAGTTTTTTATTAGCGTAAGGCACAATATTTTACTATTCTTGTCTTTCTTTCTTTCTTTTTTTTTTATTTTTTAATACACAAAGAAAAATTCATGCAGACTTAGAAAAACTGTGTAAATAAAAGTGCTCACTTACATGGTTCTTTTACGATGGGCGCCAGTAAATATAAATTGATTTGTATAATAATGTAGTAGTTGGTTATCCCTCGCTGCTTGCGAAAAAATGCTTCGACTGACTTCCGCTACAACTTATTAATACATTGCAGTAATGCAAAAATTATACAGTACACAGATGGCCTATCTCATAGAACAAATGAGTTCCTAGGGCGGGTTTCAGCGCTGGACCGTGCAGGAAATTTTTCCCGCGGCAACAAGTCAGGGATAGCTGTGTGGTAGAGTGCTTGGCTGATGTGCGGAGGGAAACGAGCTCAAATAAGGCTCAAGACATCCGATTTCCCTTTTTATACCCTTGCAGAGGGTATTATAATTTAGGTCAAAAGTGTGCAACGCAGTGAAGCAGACATCTCCGACCCTATAAAGTATACATATTCTTGATCATAATCACCTCCTCCGTTGATATGAGCATAAAGTATACATAAAAAATGTACATAAAGTATATATATTGAACAGGATCACCAAATTTCGTAGAGTCTTACCGAAGCCAAAAAGCGGTAACTTCTATGTGTCTTAGAATCATGGAGCTCACAATACCCTTTCCCCCCACTCACAAATCGATGCAATATATCAGCTTGGACAATCACTACTACGCTACCATAGGTAATTACCGTCGTTGACTTTTCCTCTCCCAAAATCTACACCACTTGAAAAAGGTACTGTCCTACAATCCTACAGATTACATGGCAAACATCGCACAGACACTATTTAGGATCGAACTAGCGCACGAGAGCACAAACCCAAAAAAGCACTCAGTTCACTTTATTTAACTTTCAGAACCTTAGATTTACTGGAGGACCCTCATAAAATAATCGCTCCTGTTCAGTGCATTGCCAGGAATATAGGCATACGAAAAGTTTCTACACTCTTCTTTCAGTCTGCGTTGACCTTAACAGCAACAAAGAATGTCAGTTTTTAAAGTCTACCCTCGCCAAAATTAGCAGATCAAAGAAACCCCCTGGTTTGGTCATTGACATAATTGCAAGTTATTTATTCTGCAGGCAGATAAAACTGGATGATCAATTTGTGATAGAACATCAATTATGATATTTATGATACATAGGTGCTAAGCAGTGACTTAATGAAAGCCGAGAGTGCGGCCCGACTAGACAAAGCACAGTAAAAGCTCTCGATAGCGGAGAGGGCGGCCCGAAATAGACATTGCGGAGCTAAAGCTCTCTTAAGATAGGTCCGTTGAAGTCTAGCGGCCGAGAAAAAGTCGTCTTGAGACCAACTAAATAAACTATAAACTAATTCATGGGGGGGGGGGGCCCTATAGCCTAGTGGGTAGCATAGCTGCACGCTAAGCGTGGGGTCGTGGGTTCGAACCCCACTCATGACAATCATGACCTTCAAAATTAAAAAACTTAGAAAAACTGTGTAAATAAAAGTGCTCACTTACATGGTTCTTTTACGATGGCCGCCAGTAAATATAAATTGATTTGTATAATAATGTAGTAGTTGGTTATCCCTCGCTGCAGTCGGTGATGCCGCAGATGTAGGAGGTACGTGTTCTGATAATTACCCCTTGCGGTTGCAGGGGGGGTGTTGCCACTCCTTATAGGCAGTGTTTGAGATCCCTGGCGGTTGCCGGGGGGATCCTTCCTGTGACAGGAGTTATGATGGAAGCACTTGCCCCATTGTCATGGCCCTTGAGGCGCGGTGACCAATTCAACAAATAAATTTACAAATTAACGGCAGTGCCGGAGATTGGTTTTATGGTGCTCTTTATTGTATGAGACTCTGACACAAACTGAAACTTAAAGCTAACAAAAAGTATTTCATAGCGGCCACGCAAATGTGCAGTGCTTGCCGCTATGCATGGGCTTCCGGCCAGACGCTATGTCAGCAGTTTGGCCAGAGCGAGCTCTTAAATAATCGGACATTGCCGCTGCTTGGTTAACTTCAGTTAACTTGTACATCTAAATAACCGACTTTAGTAGTAACAATACTTTTTCACTGACTTTAATAATAGGAATAGGAACATTGAAACATTTTCGCCCTGACACACATTTTCAATATTGAGTGCCAGATTGCTTAGTCAAAATTTTAGTTTTTGCTTGTTATAAATTTTTTATAACTTAGGGTAAAAAAAATTGATTAAAATGAAATCCAATAAAAATTTTAATTTATAATTGAGGGGTAATCTTCAATCTTCATGTTACCAATTTTACATAATAGTCTATAAGTAATAATAATCCTATCGCGCATTCTGCATATAATGCTGGAAATGCACAAATGTTTTAATTGCTTTTTCGTGTTTTATAGCCCTTTTTGCTGAAATTACTAGAATTCTCAATCATATAATGGCTGTGGGAACTCATGCTCTGGATGTTGGTGCTTTGACCCCCTTTTTTTGGCTTTTTGAGGAGCGAGAAAAGATGATGGAATTCTATGAACGCGTTTCTGGCGCCCGTATGCATGCTGCCTACATCCGACCAGGAGGGGTTTCATTAGTAATAAATTTCCATTTGTTATTAAGTAAAAATTACTCACCGATTTATTGTAGGATATCCCTCTTGGTTTGTTGGACGACATTTATGAATTTTCTTCAAAGTTTTCCGAGCGCTTGGACGAAGTAGAGGATGTTCTAACGACAAATCGAATTTGGGTGCAGAGAACCGAAGATATTGGTGTTGTGACTGCTGAGGAAGCTCTAAATTTTGGATTCAGCGGTGTCATGCTTCGTGGCTCCGGAATTAAATGGGATCTTCGTAAACAGCAACCTTACGATGCATATGACTTGGTTGACTTTGATGTACCTATCGGAACAAAAGGTGACTGCTACGACCGATACCTATGCCGTGTTGAGGAAATGCGTCAATCCTTGCGAATAATTGATCAATGTCTGAATAAAATGCCTTCTGGAGAAATTAAGGCGGATGATGTGAAAGTGGCCCCTCCATCACGATCCGAAATGAAGACTTCAATGGAAGCCCTTATTCACCATTTTAAGCTATTTACCCAAGGTTACCAAGTGCCCCCAGGAGCTACCTATACGGCGATTGAAGCACCAAAAGGAGAATTTGGAGTTTACATTGTTTCAGATGGCTCCAGCCGTCCATATCGCTGTAAAATAAAGGCTCCTGGATTTGCCCACTTGGCAGCGCTGGAGAAGATCGGAAAACAACATATGTTAGCCGATGTCGTGGCCATTATTGGCACATTAGACGTCGTGTTTGGCGAGATTGATCGGTAAAAAATTAATAAAGTATGGTTCTACTTCACTACTGTAATGTAATATTTATGGCTATTAAAAGTTTTTTTCAGCCTGTAATAAAAAAAGATTTTAATTTTTTTTTCAAATCATAAACATATTCACCTTTTTCATTTTTCATTTATTTTTTTCCAAACGTTGACAAACGACTGATATAGTCGACACTACTGTAACACTGAGCGCTTTGAAATAAGTGCAACATAGACACAGACAAAAAGTTCATCGCAAAAAATGCTTCGACTGACTTCCGCTACAACTTATTAATACATTGCAGTAATGCAAAAATTATACAGTATACAGATGGCCTATCTCATAGAACAAATGAGTTCCTAGGGCGGGTTTCAGCGCTGGACCGTGCAGGAAATTTTTCCCGCGGCAACAAGTCAGGGATAGCTGAGTGGTAGAGTGCTTGGCTGATGTGCGGAGGGAAACGAGCTCAAATAAGGCTCAAGACATCCGATTTCCCTTTTTATACCCTTGCAGAGGGTATTATAATTTAGGTCAAAAGTGTGCAACGCAGTGAAGCAGACATCTCCGACCCTATAAAGTATACATATTCTTGATCATAATCACCTCCTCCGTTGATATGAGCATAAAGTATACATAAAAAAAGTACATAAAATATATATATTGAACAGGATCACCAAATTTCGTAGAGTCTTACCGAAGCCAAAAAGCGGTAACTTCTATGTGTCTTAGAATCATGGAGCTCACAATACCCTTTCCCCCCACTCACAAATCGATGCAATATATCAGCTTGGACAATCACTACTACGCTACCATAGGTAATTACCGTCGTTGACTTTTCCTCTCCCAAAATCTACACCACTTGAAAAAGGTACTGTCCTACAATCCTACAGATTACATGGCAAACATCGCACAGACACTATTTAGGATCGAACTAGCGCACGAGAGCACAAACCCAAAAAAGCACTCAGTTCACTTTATTTAACTTTCGGAACCTTAGATTTACTGGAGGACCCTCATAAAATAATCGCTCCTGTTCAGTGCATTGCCAGGAATATAGGCATACGAAAAGTTTCTACACTCTTCTTTCAGTCTGCGTTGACCTTAACAGCAACAAAGAATGTCAGTTTTTAAAGTCTACCCTCGCCAAAATTAGCAGATCAAAGAAACCCCCTGGTTTGGTCATTGACATAATTGCAAGTTATTTATTCTGCAGGCAGATAAAACTGGATGATCAATTTGTGATAGAACATCAATTATGATATTTATGATACATAGGTGCTAAGCAGTGACTTAATGAAAGCCGAGAGTGCGGCCCGACTAGACAAAGCACAGTAAAAGCTCTCGATAGCGGAGAGGGCGGCCCGAAATAGACATTGCGGAGCTAAAGCTCTCTTAAGATAGGTCCGTTGAAGTCTAGCGGCCGAGAAAAAGTCGTCTTGAGACCAACTAAATAAACTATAAACTAATTCATGGGGGGGGGGCCCTATAGCCTAGTGGGTAGCATAGCTGCACGCTAAGCGTGGGGTCGTGGGTTCGAACCCCACTCATGACAATCATGACCTTCAAAATTTTTCGGCATCTTTATGCTTAGTGGACTCTTCTCCGACGCTACTAAACATGGGATGTCGAAAAACGGTACTCCCAGATATCGACAGATGGCAGCCCCACCTCTGGGATTGGTCGCACCTGGCTAATCACCGGATCGACTGAAAAACAATTGATTAATGAAACCAATACAAGAGAAGAAACCAACCACCCCCCAACCCGTGGACGACCATTCGCACATCGAAACGGACTCGAATTGGACAATGGAACGTGAGAACTTTAATGGAATCAACCAGACTGGCGCAGTTTAAAGGAGAAATAGAGAAAATGCAGTGAGTGAAGAACCCTTGTAGAGGCCCTAAGCTCCCAAGAGGAGTAATAAGGGGGAAAAAAAAAACTAATTCAGCGGCTTCTGCCTGACCAGACACCACTCTTCCACCAAGAAAATAAAAACGACTCACAAACGCCGACCAAACTCGAAGCTACGCTCACGAACTCAACGCTGTCGAAGCAATGTACCCTCTAAGAGTTGGCATGAAACTAAAACCTTCTCTTGAAATACTAAAAAAACAAAACGCCAGCGAGTATTCCCATAATTTACGGAACCAACAACGGAACATTTACGGAATAAAGAGCTGATCACTGGTTTTCGTAAAATCAATGACCAGCTCTGTGCGCTTGACACTCAATTTAGTGGCCTTCAGCTGCTAAATGAGTCCCCTAAGCGTAAGAAATCCGCTGTTTCTGATCCGCCTCAGCCTGCTCAGCCGACATTAATGCAGCCGCTTATATCTCTGGCCACCCCAAGGGCCTTAACTGAGAAAAATTCGTCAGAATTTCTCAGGGATAATGAGCCATTGTCCGATATGTCCGCCATGGCATCCCTTCAAGTGATGCCACAGGTCCTAGGGAACGAAACCCCCATTAGGGTCACCCAAAAGGGTATTCCACAGTCCGGACCACCGGCACCGACTGATGCTGCAGTTCTTGTACCTGCGACACCAAAACCCTTACAGGTGATTCCTCCATCGAAACATATATTTGTTTCTCGGCTTGCCCCTGATACTTCAGAGATTGATATCTCGGCTTATATCAAAGCCAAAACTAAAGCCGATATAAAGGTGAAGGACATACAAAAATTTAAATACAATTATACAAGGCGCACGTCTTCTTATAAGATTCGTGTGCCCGCGCTGATGTTCAAGACGATTTGTTCTCCCAGTTTTTGGCCAGAGAATCTTTTCGTCCAAGAACATCAGCCTAGTTCCGTAAAAAAAAAAGTTAATAAACCAGTGGGAGTGAGACTTCCCAATATCGGAACCACTGACCAACCCTCCACCTCTTCTTTGGCCACTAACCCAAAAAACTAATTTCCTCACTAACTCTTACCTATCAGAATACTAGGGGGCTACGTAGCAAACTCCCCAAGCTATATTCTGATAGTTCTTTCTTTGCATCCCATATAATAGCATTTACAGAAACTTGGTTAAATCCGGAGATCTTTAGCTCCGAAGTTTTTCCAAGTAAGTACACCACTTTTAGACGGGATCGATCTCAGCGAAGAGGAGGTGGAGTCCTCATTTCGGTAGACTCTACTTTTGCTTCTGAAGAGGTGAAATCCCATGAGTTTGGTGACATAGAATTTATTTGCGTTAAAATCACTATGTCCGTGAAAGCTTTATACATTACATGTTCATATATACCTCCTATGTCTGAACCGCCCACATATTGGCAGCATTTGTCCGCTATTCGATACGTCTCTAATCTTATGACGGATCGTGACCAACTCGTAGCGGTGGGCGACTTTAATATCCCAGAATTAAAGTGGTCCAACGTCGATAACTCACCATCTTTGTCACTTATAACTTACCATGACTTCACCGCGGGCATGTTTGACATGTCCCTAGGTCAGATCAATCATGTTAGAAATTCGCTAGGTCGGCTCTTAGACTTATGTTTTGTATCTGATCCGGATGGTACCGCTCTCTCCAGAGCTTTTCCCCTTTCAGCCCCAGAGGATCCATATCACCCCACACTGGAGGTCTCAATCGAAACCACTCCTGGTATCGATCAGATGTCTCCGAGCGTGGTAAATAAGATTCGCTGTTTCCGTAAAGCTGATTTTCAGAAACTTAATAGCCTTATCGATACATTTGACTGGTCTGATATTCTGGCGTGCACTGATCTTAATGTCACTTTAGAAAAATTTTATTTTACTTTAAATACATTTTTTGACTCATGTGTGCCTTGGAAACATCCGTCCGCTTCAACAAATCCTCCTTGGTTTACAAGGTGCCTCGCTAACTTAAAAAATAAAAAAAATAAGCTTTTACTTAAATATAAAAAAACCTGCAGTAGTGTTGATTTCTCAAGATACCTACTAGCTCGGTCGAATTTTACCGTGCATAACGCTGAATGTTATAGGAATTATATTGACCGCTGCCGGATTCAATTTACTCAGGATCCAAAGCAGTTTTATAATTTTGCAAACACTAAGCGTAAACACGTATCTTTTTCACCTCTGCTTACGTTTGAAAATTCCTCTGCGACTTAGGATCAGGCCATTGCCGATCTATTCGCAGAATTTTTTCAAACAACTTATTCTCCTCCTAAATTGACTGATCAGCCTTACGCATATAACATTCAAGCAGCAAATCTTATTTTCTGTCCGTCTTTTTCTGAGAACCTCTTATTATCTGGTCTTTTAAGGGTAAAACCCATTTATTCGCCAGGCCCCGACGGAGTACCAGGCTGTGTGCTAAAATACTGCGCCAGGGCTCTGTGCAAACCTCTTCTAAGACTTTTCAACTTATCTTATCGGCAATTCCAAAGTTATTTGAAAAATTAATTACCCCTCATTTGCAACACCTTTGCTCTTCGATTATCACTCCTTGTCAGCATGGCTTTATTAAGCGTCGCTCCACCACCACAAACTTATTGGAGTTGACATCCTTTGTCATAGACGGCTTTTGTAAGGAATATCAAACCGATGTAATTTACACAGACTTCAGCAAAGCATTTGATTCAGTTAATCACTCACTTTTGTTGAGTAAACTGAATATGCTGGGTTTTCCTAAAGACCTCTTAACGTGGATCTCCAGCTACCTAGATGGAAGGACACAAAGAGTCTTATTTAAAAACATACAGTCCCGTCTGGTCCGTGCTACATCCGGCGTCCCTCAAGGAAGTCATCTTGGCCCGTTATTATTTACGCTTTTTATAAACGACTTGCCCCCTGCTTTAACGAACTCTCTAGTTCTTATGTATGCAGATGATGTAAAGCTTTGTCTTCAGTATAAATCCATCTGTGCCCAATGCAGTCTTCAGTCTGACCTTGATAACTTTCAAAAATGGTGTTTGGCTAATGATCTAATACTTAATGGATCAAAATGAAAGCATATGTCTTTTTATCGTTCTTGCCCTCTGCAAGCTACGTATTCCATTAATGGGATTGCCTTAGAATAATTAACCCAGGTTAATGATCTCGGCATCCTATTAGACATAAAACTTAAATTTGCCGACCATATTTCCTTAATGGTTAATAAGGCTAAAGGAGTCCTTGGTTTTATTAAAAGGTGGTC